TTAGCCCTTAGTGAAAACAGGCTGATGCTACTTCCGGTGCGAACTAGCCAAAAAGATCTTTAAAACTTAATATGTTCTGCACAAACTACATATCATACTCCACATATTATTTTGATATAAGTATCATCACTGTAGGACACAAACTCACTGAGCTAGCAGCCAGAACAGAGCAAGAAAACAACAACAGTGTTCTAAACCATAACAATAATTATGTCTTACCGTTACTGTTTTGTGATCAAAAGTCGTGTTCAAGGGAATAAAAACGCTGCTCAAGGTTAATCCAATGTCTCTTAGTCACTTTAGAATTGTTGCTGATAATCCATCATTACATTCATGGCCGCAGAGTAGGTATAACGTTTTGCAGTCCGGGGCTCCGGCTGTCTCACGTGCCGTTTACGCAAGCCTATCTCTCCTTGATGTAAGTGTTTAGCGCGGGGTTTACTAACTCCCCCTCGATTCTATCAAATCAAGTTTTATTTATATAATACATTTATAAACAAGCTGGCTTTGGGGACATGGAACGTCACCTCTCTGGGGGGGAAGGAGCCGGAGCTTGTGCGGGAGGTGGAGCGTTACCAGTTGGATCTGGTTGGGCTCACCTCTACGCACAGCGTCGGCTCTGGAACCTTACTTCTGGATAGGGGTTGGACTCTATTCTTCTCCGGAGTTGCTCAAGGTGTGAGGCGCCGGGCGGGTGTGGGGATACTCACAAGTCCCCGGTTAGGTGCTTCGTTGTTGGAGTTTACCCCAGTGGACGAGAGGGTCGCCTCCCTACGCCTGCGGGTTATGGGGGGGGAAAACTCTGACTGTTGTGTGTGCTTATACACCCAACAGCAGTTCAGAGTATACAGCCTTCTTGGAGACCCTGGAAAGAGTCCTGTATGGGGCTCCTGAAGGGGACTCTTTAATCTTGCTGGGAGACTTCAACGCACATGTGGGCAATGATGGAGACACTTGGAGGGGCGTGATTGGGAGGAACGGCCCCCCTGATCTGAACCGGAGTGGTGGTTTGTTACTGGACTTCTGTGCTAGTCATGGATTGGCCATAACAAACACCATGTTCGAACATAAGGATGCTCATAAGTGTACGTGGTACCAGAGCACCCTAGGCAGAAGGTCCATGATCGATTTCGTTATCGTATCATCGGACCTGAGGAGGAACAATGCGGATTCCGTCCTGGTCGTGGAACGACGGATCAGCTTTTTACTCTCGCAAGGATCCTGGAGGGGGCCTGGGAGTACGCTTATCCGGTCTACATGTGTTTTGTAGACTTGGAGAAGGCGTATGACCGAGTTCCCAGGGAGTTACTGTGGGAGGTGCTGCGGGAGTATGGGGTGAGGGGGTCTCTACTCAGGGCCATCCAATCTCTGTACTCCCAAAGCGAGAGCTGTGTCCGGGTCCTCGGCAGTAAGTCGGACCCATTTCCGGTGAGGGTTGGCCTCCGCCAGGGCTGCGCTTTGTCACCAATCCTGTTTGTAATATACATGGATCGGATTTCGAGGCGTAGTCATCGCGGAGGGGGTCTGCAGTTCGGTGGACTAAGGATTGCACCACTGCTTTTTGCAGATGATGTGGTTCTAATGGCTTCATCGGTCTGCGACCTTCAGCACTCACTGGATCGGTTCGCAACCGAGTGTGAAGCGGCTGGGATGAGGATCAGCACCTCCAAATCTGAGGCCATGGTTCTCAGCAGGAAACCGATGGACTGTCCACTTCAAGTAGGGAATGAGTCCTTACCCCAAGTGAAGGAGTTCAAGTATCTCGGGGTCTTGTTCTCGAGTGAGGGAACAATGGAGCGTGAGATGGGCCGGAGAATCGGAGCAGCGGGAGCGGTACTGCAGTCGCTTTACCGCACCGTTGTGACGAAAAGGGAGCTGAGCCAGAAGGCAAAGCTCTCTGTCTACCGGGCCATTTTCGTTCCTACCCTCACCTATGGTCATGAAGGATGGGTCATGACCGAAGGAACGAGATCGCGGATACAAGCGGCCGAGATAGGTTTTCTCCGCAGGGTGGCTGGTGTCTCCCTTAGGGATAAGGTGAGAAGTTCGGTCATCAGGGAGGGACTCGGAGTTGAGCCGCTCCTCCTTCGCGTCGAAAGGAGCCAGTTGAGGTGGTTCGGGCACCTAGTTAGGATGCCACCTGGGCGCCTCCCTAGGGAGGTGTTCTAGGCACGTCCAGCTGGGAAGAGACCAAGGGGTAGACCTAGGACCAGGTGGAGGGATTATATCTCTTCGCTGGCCTGGGAGCGCCTTGGGATCCCCCAGTCAGAGCTGGTTGATGTCGCCAGGGAAAATAAAGTTTGGGGCTCTCTGCTGGAACTGCTACCCCCGCGACCCGACCACGGATAAGCGGGAGAAGATGGATGGATGGACATTTATAAACAATTTTTGGTCGAGGCAAAGTGCTGTACATAAAATAAAAATAGCCTACAGTAGAGACACTTTAAAGCAAATACAACAGCACAGATTGTTCAGAATATCAGTATGAGAAAAACTGAGGTTACCTACTGTAACCCCAGTTTCTATGAGTAAATGGCGCAGCCCTCTAAGGCTATCGCTATTGGGTAATCCCCCTTCGCCCCCGCGCAGCACTGAAACACTTGTAGTCCACGCCCACCCGCTAGGTGGGCCCCACCCTCGGGCCTCCTTCCGGTATAAATAGGAAGGGGGCCCGGCAATCTGCTCCCATACAAATAACTTTTCTTCAGCTATTCGTAGAGCCAGTGGGGCCCCGCACTTAGAGGGCTGCGCCATTTACTCATAGAAGCTGGGGTTACAGTAGGTAACTTCAGTTCTATTTCGTATATGGCTTCGCCCTCTAAGGCTATCGCTATTGGGTTAAGGGCATGCCCGGCGCCGTGGGAGGTTCAGGGAGGGCCAGCCCCTTCCATTTGACATTCCTGCCCTCCCCCAATAAACACGTTTTTTATTATTTCTAAATATTTAAAAATATATATATTTTATTTTTTTAATTATAAATAAACTGTGAACATTTATGCTACGATGTATGTGATGTCAGAACAAACAAAATAAATCGCAGGCTAAGTCAAATAAATGCATGTGTCTGTTGTGATTTGTGATTCGTCCCATTTAGACCAATCACAGCGTCACACTCTGCCGCCTATTCTGGATTTGTTTATTGTGCATTCTGTAGACTCCCATTTCTGTTTGAATTACAAAATGGACATCAGAAATTGGCTTAAAAGGTCTAAGGATTTATTAAAACGAAATAGCGATGAAAGAGCTGCAGCCGATGGTGCTGCTGGCGACCCTGCACCTGCCGTTGCAGCAGCACGCCTTAATGTCACAAGCTTGACCTCGGCAAACCCCGGGACTGAGTTAGCGATGATCTTAGGGTTAATAAACCCAAGCAGGTGAAGCTGGATCGTTATCCAGGGAGATTGTTTTCAGGAAAGAAGCACACTTTTGCCACTGCATGGTACAACAACAGACCATGGCTTGAATATTCGTTAAAAGCAGACGCAGCCTTTTGTTTCCCCTTAGACAGTTTAAAGTAAATACGTCTTCATCTGATGCGGCTTTTACTGTCAAAGGTTTTTGCGACTGGAAACACGCATTACAGACTGATAAAGGACTGCTAAGGCATGCTGCATCAAAAGAACACATTTCATGTGAGAGTTTGTGGAGAGAGAGACATATACGCGAGGAAACAAATAAGGAAATTAGAACTTTGGTGCAGATCAGCTGGCACGGAGCCGTTATTACGTGTCAGCTGTCGTTGATATTATAGCTTTTTTAGCTGTCAACCAACTCCCTCTCAGAGGTGACTCGATTCACTCCACAGCATGTCCGAGTGCAGTGCATAGGAACATAAACCATGCCCAAGGCGGGCTAAACAGTTCATCGTCTCCGTCTCTACTATTTCTCTCCGAGTGCAACGATGAGGAAGCTGCCATCCGTAACCAGTGTGCCTTGCTCGTGATTTACCAGTGTTTGTGCTGCCACGCACACAATGTTTCAAAGTGGTTTCTATGTTGCCCTTTATTTGTGTATGTTTGCGATAAGTGTGCGTCTTTACGCAATGCTGTTGGCCTTGCTGTTTGATATATATTGTGCCGCAGGCCCGCAGCACGTGACGGTTTTGTGTGCCCTCTCATGAAAATTATATGCCCTCCCTTTAGATTTGTTCTGGCGCCGGGTCTGGTTAAGGGCGAAGCATGATGTAGTCTGCGCCCCACTGGTTCCGCCTGTATGGAACGCCCTTTGCACCACAATTTGCGCGTTTATTCGCGCGGATTAACGGGGAGGTCCGTTTTATATACGGGGAGGCCCGTTTTATAAACGGGGAGGTCCGTTTAAGTTCAAAGTCTCAGTAACCAATCAGTGAAGAGCAAAACCAGACCAAAGCAATCTGTAGATGAAAAGTTCCTGACATTGTGAGGCTGTAAATTGTACGTTATTCCAGATTCAGGGGACTATGTATTAATTTGGCTTTCAATATAATAAATATATCAATCAATATAACCTGCCTTCATTGTCTTTTAAAATAAAATCGCCTTACCTTACTGAAGTGATGGGTATTTATGTCTCCTTAAATCACCTTTTAAATGTACTTCTTATAACATGGCATGGTGTAACATATCAAAATGTTCAGTCTCTGGTCTTGCTAGAAATGCAATGTCACTCACCTTAGAGCACTGTCTTATGAGATACTTAGCTTAGAAATCAGATTTTTGGAAAACTTAAAAACTCTTGTGAAAACACAGATGTACTCATGTCATCCATTTTTTTTGGTGTTTCAGATTTGGTTTACCAACGTTTTTGGTTCACAAAAGTAGTGAAATATATGAATTACACTATAGGCCTATATAAATGTGTTGTTCATGTCTAAAATGAAAATGTGTAAATTAGAATTTGGAGTAAAATAGTTCTATCACTCTACTTTCACCACAGAAAAGTTGCATCAGGACTGATTCATGACTTCATATTCCATACTGAGGTTCATGTGATGTGTACAAATACAAATTGAGCATTACAACTTTTTTTTTCAACCAACTATTTATGTTAACATAAGAAACTGTAACATCTGGTGCAAAAGGACAAAACAAAGAATTTATTTTCTCCGCCGTCTTAGGTCTTTTGGCGCGAGCAGAGAAATTCTTCTGTTGTTCTTTACATCTTTGATCATGTCCATTCTACAGTACTGCAATACTACCTGGTACAAATGTCTGTCAGCAGCGTTAAAATCAAAACTACTCCACCTGTTAAAGATCTGCTCAAAGATTGTTGGTCAACCCTGTCAGAGACTCTATGACTCAGCCTATCATAACAACCTAGTGAGGCTGTCCAACAACATCATCTCCGACCCAAACCATGTTCTGAACAGTGAATATGAACTGCTACCATCTAATCGGAGATACAGGGTCCCACGATTCAATAAAGTCAGACTGAAGCACTCCTTTGTGCATCAGTCAGTCCTCAGAGTAAATACAGAGCTAAATCCCAGACCAAATGCACGCTGAAGGCTCTTTGAGCATGTTTTTCTCTCACTGATTGTGCTGTTATGTTAAATGTTTGTGTTTCATGTATTTGTGTATGCATATTTGTCTGTTGATGTTGGACATGGAGCTGCTGTGACGCAAGTCAAATTTCAGACTTGATCTGACAATAAAGTAATATCGTATCGTATCGTATCTCAATATTTACAATACAGGGTTTATACACTTTTTCACCAATGATTTTAAATGACTTTTCCATGACCAAAGAAATGACTCTTTCATATTCTAAATATTGAATATGTTACAACAGTTTGCATTTAGCACGTCTTGGGTCAATGTCTTTTGATAACCACAATTACTTATTCTTTAGAAGCCATACATTGTTGAAACTGCACTTCCCTGGCATCTTTATATCAAATAGTAGCTCCTGTAGACTAGAGGGCATGATTGTAAACATCTCTCACCAGCAAAATACTGCCACAGTTGCCATTTTACGTTTCATTATACGATACAGTATTTATTATCATTATAGTATTACTATTTCGGCGATTAGATAACACATAAATTATATTTGATGCAACTTTAGTTATATTTCCATGACTTTTCCAAAACTTTGGAAAAAATATTGCATTCCATGACTTTTCCAGGTTTTTAATGACTGTAAGAACCCTGACAATATCAGAACTTTGTCAACCAACTATTCATTATAAATGTAAAGACAGGGGGAGCATTGCCATGGTCTTTGTCTTTCTTCCAAGACAGTGGGTCTGGCTTCTGTGTAGGTGGGGGTGATGGTGCATGGGCTGCTGGTGGCTGTGTCGGCGGGAGGGAGGTGTGCTAGGCGAGACTTCTTTGCTGGCTGGGTTGATTGTGATGGCTGTGGTGGAGGCCTTTGTACCGAGGTGTATCTTAATCTTGTGGCAGGCACAGATGGAGGTGGAGGCTGCTGTAGTGATGCTGGTCCTTGGTGGTGATGGCTCTGGTGAAGGCCCTTGAGCCACGGTAGATCTTGACCTGGGTGCAGGCACAGATGGAGGTTCTTGCAGCTGTGAAATCGGAAAGAAATACAGGACAATAATTACTACTAAGTTCATTAAAATATAAAGTTCAAGTGGAATGTTTCTTCCCTCTCTCTCTCTCTCTCTATTTAACTGTTACACCCACACAATGAAAGTACACTATTACTGTAATATTTACCTATCTTCAAATGGATCCTTGTTGTTGTTGTTGCTGTATTCTCCAGGTTCTGAGGCTCCATCTCCACTGCTGCTACTGTTACAAGTCCGCTGTGCTGGTAATCAGATAATAAGCCTGTTGAACAGGAGAAAAGAATGAAGCAGAGGGAAAGTTGCTGCCGTTGTGTGGGTGTCCTAGCCAGAATTTGTTTAACACATTAATAAATTCACTTACAAATTATATCCGTTTTCTCTATTTATCTAATCATTCTCTGGTTTGATGCCACATGTATCTCTGCGTTGTGTTGTGTGGTCGAATGAATCTGTGCAAACAGAATATAATGAAATGGCTTCACCAGCTTTCTACCTCAATAGTTCTCCTCAGTGAGGCCTGAAGCTAACTGAGAATGTAAAAATACATTTAGCCAATCAAAATAACTATGTCTGACATATTTCGTTTTCTAATCAAAAATGGACATAAATGCACATGCCATATTATGACTTTCATGAAGGATTAAAGCCTTTTTCATTTACAGTATAATACAGTGATAACAGATAACACACACAACCCGACTGTACTCCCTTTAACATGGCTGTTGTACAGGCACAATATTAGCATAGCATTAGCGCTTTAGCATTTAAATAATATGAACAATTATGACCTCAGGCCAGCATTTCACATATTTATACAAACAGAATAAACTTGAAATGTAAGCCAGACTAGTGCACGGGAATCATTACACAAAGTAACATAGTAGAGCGCTACATTATTCAGGGAGCAACAGCCTGATAAAACAGTTTCAAACACACTTCTTAGATCGAAATATGACATAATCTGTGTACACACTATTAACCTGTTGAAGAGGAGAAATGAATGAAGCAGAGGAAAATTCTTGCCATGTGTCTGTTGTCTTCTTCTTCTTCTTCTTCTTCTTCTTCTTCTTCTTCTTCTTCTTCTTCTTCTTCTTCTTCTTCTTCTTCTTCTTCTTCTTCTTCTTCTTCTTCTTCTTCTTCTTCTTCTTCTTCTTCTCTTTCTTCTTCTTCTTCTTCTTCTTCTTCGTCTATTCTTCTTCTTCTTGTCTTCTTCTTCTTCTTCTTCTTCTTCTTCTTCTTCTCTCGGACCATGCCGTTTCTCTAACGCTAAACCGGAAGTGAGGCTAAGAACGGCGAACTTAAAGATAACAATACCATTAGCACTCCTAGTGGTGACTTTATGAACTGCAAACAAATTATAACATAAAATGCCTTTAAGGCAGCACACTGTTTGAAGCGCTGCACATTATATAAACTAACGTTACACACGGCAACGACATTAACTGCAAACAGTCGTGACTTGTGTGAAGTGTAACATTAAACAATATATTAACATATTAAATACAACATTTATGACACCACTCGTTCCACTCAGTAACCCTCTTTGTTCTAAGACATGTGATAGTCTATACCAGGGGTCACCAACCTTTTTTAGGGTGAGGGCTACTTTCAAAAATTAAAACAAGTCGGGGGCTACTTTTACTCCTCTTTTTTTTGTTTTTTGCAGTGTATATATTTAGCACATTTTAACATTATTATTATGCTGACCTTTAACCTTTGTGTGCTGTTTGGGTCTGTGGGACCCGTTTTCAGTGTTTACTAAAAGAACATGTATTCAATTTAATTATTTAAACTTCTTTATTTGGGAGGGTCCTCACCTCCTCTAGGGGGGTCCGGGGGCACGCACCCCCGGGAAGATTTTTTTTTTAAATGTTGAAGTTAAATGCATCAATCTGCTGCACTTTGAGCACAAAATGAATTTATGGACACAGCTCTCCACTCTCAGATGAAAGGGAGCTGTATACTTTTCAATAATAATAATAATAACTTGCTATCACCTGATTCGAAGTCCAGTACACTATCCACTGAGCCACAGCCCCGCATTAAATACAAAGATTAAAAGTCATTCAAAACAGATAATAAAAAAAGCTGGAGAGAAAACAATTCCACTCCGAGACTCGAACCCGGCCATCTCGAATGTCTGACCCACACTTAGAACATTACTCTACAAGCAGATTGTAGTAATTTTACACCCACGCAGTGCATGGTCGAAGTGCACATATTTTACGTACTTAATCATGGGCAGTAACTACAGACCCATAGCATTAACATCACACTTGTGTAAATGGATGGAGAAGATGATAGTGTATAGACTATCACATGTCTTAGAACAAAGAGGGTTTGGCTACTGAGTGGAGCGAGTGGTGTCATAAATGTTGTATTTAATATGTTAATATATTGTTTAATGTTACACTTCACACAAGTCACGACTGTTTGCAGTTAATGTCGTTGCCGTGTGTAACGTTAGTTTATATAATGTGCAGCGCTTCAAACAGTGTGCTGCCTTAAAGGCATTTTATAATGTTATAATTTGTTTGCGGTTCAAAAAGTCACCACTAGGAGTGCTAATGGTATTATTATCTTTAAGTTCGCCGTTCTTAGCCTCACTTCCGGTTTAGCGTTAGAGAAACGGCATGACAGACACATTGCAGCAACTTTCCCTCCGCTTCATTCATTTCCCCTGTTCAACCGGTTAGTAGTGTGTACACAGATTATGTCATATTTCGATCTATGAATCGTGTCTTTGAAACTGTTTTATGTGTAGTTTAATGTCATTCTGTGAGCTACACTACTAGCGTGTTGCTAATGGCTAATGGCGTCCGCTAGCTTCTTTAACACAGGCTGTTGCTCCCTGAATAATGTTGCTCTACTATGTGTATGAGTCCCGTGCACTAGTCTGGCTTACATTTCAAGTTTATTCTGTTTGTATAAATATGTGAAATTCTGGTCTGAGGTCATAATTGTTCATATTATTTAAATGCTAAAGCGCTAATGGTTAAATAGGTTGTAAGAGAGAGAGACTCCTGTCCCACCTCCCCATTTTATCTTGAGTTGTGCATTGTTATTTGTGCTTGAGAAACATTCCACTTGAACTTTATATTTTAATGAACTTAGTAGTAATTATTGTCCTACATTTCTTTCCGATTTCACAGCTGCCTGGGCCTAGCAGCAAGAACCTCCATCTGTGCCTGCACCCAGGTCAAGATCTACCGTGGCTCAAGGGCCTTCACCAGAGCCATCACCACCAAGGACCAGAGGACCAGCATCACTACAGCAGCCTCCACCTCCATCTGTGCCTGCCACAAGATTAAGATACACCTCGGTACAAAGGCCTCCACCACAGCCATCACGATCAACCCAGCCAGCAAAGAAGTCTCGCCTAGCACACCTCCTCCCGCCGACACAGCGACCAGCAGCCCATGCACCATCACCCCCACCTACACAGCAGCCAGACCCACTGTCTTGGAAGAAAGACAAAGACCATGGCAATGCTCCCCCTGTCTTTACATTTATAATGAATAGTTGGTTGAGAAAGTTCTGATATTGTCAGGGTTCTTACAGTCATTAAAAACCTGGAAAAGTCATGGAATGCAATATTTTTCCCAAAGTTTTGGAAAAGTCATGGAAATATAACTAAAGTTCCATCAAATATAATGTATATGTTATCTAATCGCCTAAATAGTAATACTATAATGATAATAAATACTGTATCGTATAATGAAACGTAAAATGGCAACTGTGGCAGTATTTTGCTGGTGAGAGATGTTTACAATCATGCCCTCTAGTCTACAGGAGCTACTATTTGATATAAAGATGCCAGGGAAGTGCAGTTTCAACAATGTATGGCTTCTAAAGAATAAATAATTGTGGTTATCAAAAGACATTGACCCAAGACGTGCTAAATGCAAACTGTTGTAACATATTCAATATTTAGAATATGAAAGAGTCATTTCTTTGGTCATGGAAAAGTCATTTAAAATCATTGGTGAAAAAGTGTATAAACCCTGTATTGTAAATATTGAGATGTTACAGTTTCTTATGTTAACATAAATAGTTGGTTGAAAAAAAAAAGTTGTAATGCTCAATTTGTATTTGTACACATCACATGAACCTCAGTATGGAATATGAAGTCATGAATCAGTCCTAATGTAACTTTTCTGTGGTGAAAGTAGAGTGATAGAACTATTTTACTCCAAATTCTAATTTACACATTTTCATTTTAGACATGAACAACACATTTATATAGGCCTATAGTGTAACATATATTTCACTACTTTTGTGAACCAAAAACGTTGGTAAACCAAATCTGAAACACCAAAAAAAAATGGATGACATGAGTACATCTGTGTTTTCACAAGAGTTTTTAAGTTTTCCAAAAATCAGATTTCTAAGCTAAGTATCTCATAAAACAGTGCTCTAAGGTGAGTGACATTGCATTTCTAGCAAGACCAGAGACTGAACATTTTGATATGTTACACCATGCCATGTTATAAGAAGTACATTCCAAAGGTGATTTAAGGAGACATAAATACCCTTCACTTCAGTAAAATAAGGTAAGGCGATTTTATTTTAAAAGACAATGAAGGCAGGTTATATTGATTGATATATTTATTATATTGAAAGCCAAATGAATACATAGTCCCCTGAATCTGGAATAACGTACAATTTACAGCCTCACAATGTCAGGAACTTTTCATCTACAGATTGCTTTGGTCTGGTTTTGCTCTTCACTGATTGGTTACTAGACTTTGAACTTAAATGGACCTCCCCGTTTATAAAACGGGCCTCCCCGTTTATAAAACGAATAAACGGACCTCCCCGTTAATCCGCGCGAAACTACGCGCAAATTGTGGCGCAAAGGGCGTTCCATAGCACACACATACACTCACAGACAGGCTGTTCGCCACACAGTTCGCCACGCACTCACAGCCTGAGAAAAAATAAATCTGAGTGAGTGTGTGTGCCGGCGAAACTCCGTGGAGTAGCACGGCTGAGACAAGATAAAGCTGAGTGAGGATTATAGCTCCATGCGCGCAAACCTGGCAATCCACTAGAAGGCAGGAGTCTCAGTTAACATGGCAGCGGCTAGTTTTACTCCAAAAATAGTGATGTTTGGATTCAAGGATTATTTTGTCGATGACGGTAATAAGAAGAGAACAGCGGTATGCAGGGAATCTGAACTTTTTTATCTGTTATGATGATAAACTGAAGCAATTTCTAAATTAACACAATTAAAAGAGTTTTAAATCGTCCTACTTAGTTTATAAGGAAATTATGAAAAGGAACAAATTAAATGATTTGATGATTTCTATGTAGGTGCTGACGCTGTTGGCGGTTCTACTGTTAACAGAAATTTAAATTAAATATGTGTAATGGCAAATGTCATATATGATTTTCTTACCTGGAATTCTGCCTTTTTGAACAGACTTTTTGATTGAGTCCTAGCTATATTGTCTGCAGTTCTAGGGTTAATATGAATCTAATATGATTGTCATCGGTCTAAATTAGATTTCAAATGATTAACTGTGTATGTAATGAAGATCATAGTGTGGGTTAAATCCATTTTCATAACCACTGTCTTTTAACTGATGCGGAAATGCGGAAATTGGGCTTATTCATCAGAATTTCGTATGACTTGACTTGACTTGCTTGACCTGAGCAATGACTTGACTTGACTTGCTTGACCTGAGCAATG